GTTTTACTTATACATCGATTTTTCAACTACAATCATTTACCTTTTAATTCCCGGTTAATTTTCCCCACTTTTTGAGAAAGCTGAGCTTGATGAATAATTTTGAACCTTCCTAATCCTTCAACAGCAGAATAATTTTTATATTGTCCATTCACATGAGCAGGTTAGCGATTACATCATCTCGTCGTTCTTCCAAATTCAATACATGCCTAGCACATATGCGCGTCATAAAATACAAAAACCAAATAAAACGGCTTGCAATGACAAATTTTGTTGTGTTTCGTCCTACATAAGTCTTAAGTTGCTGTTGATGTTATTTGCGAAAACTAAAATTCAAGAGAGTTTAAGAACCCTCACAAACTAGAGTATTTGGTTGTCAGATAAGTTTTCTGCCGTCTTTTCGAACATACAAAAATTCCATAAGCCAGAATTTCAAGCAACCAATGTTTGTTATTTGGAAAAAAATTCTCCCTTCTATATCCACCGTTCACCTGAACTATCCAATGATTGCCTTTTGCTAAATAACAAGCGATTGAAATGATTATTTAGAAGCTCAAAAAAAGCTCGACCGACAGCTTTGGTTAATCTACAGTACTGGATTGCTGTAACGCAATCTGGTGGGGTAATTGGATATGCTGATTATAGAAATCTAACCATTGTTCGCGATGACTTTACGGTAGCGTTACGGTAGGTGCGCGCTGCAGGATCAAGTCACTGATTCGCCTTAAGTGTAGTCTACTGAAGTTAATTAATATGCTGATCGCGATAGTCACATTGAGTCCTCATGATAAAGCCTAGACATAAACTTAATCAGATTTTCCTTTTCAAGCGGATTTATTTTGATCTACCCAACGTATACCTACTTTAGTTCCTTAATGAGAGCATATATTGCAATGTGGATATTAAAAAAATGTTATATGGAAAAACTTTATATAATGAATGTTCGATCATATCAATTGCTTTTGATCCGTTCGGCACACACCTACCGTAATCCTACAGCAAAATCCCTACTGTAGAGAATCTCTTTGGCTTTCACGAACAGAGTATGAAAGTGCCTTACTATCAGTATTATAGTAACTTCCAAGCTCCGTTCTATTGAATTGTTGGTTGAACTTTTTTGCGATTCTCTGGATTTTTGATTTCAATCACTTCTAGTTTACTGAAACAAAATGTATAAGTGGTTACGATAAGAAGGTCTTCATATAGAGGGATGTTTCCTTTTGCAAATAATCTGTAATGTGTGGCCAAAAGTCTTCTTTTATAGAATTTTCTGTTTTAAAAAAACATTACGAACTTTTCGGCAATCCAATGTATACTGATCAACCCGCTTAGTGCTTATATTCCCAGGCCTTCTTGAATACTGCTTCAAGCGAAAAGTAGCATCAAACTATTGTAAGGTTGCTTTCAGTTTTGTCAGCTGTACACAATGCTTCTACTGATGTTAGCTGCGGTAGAACGAGCTGTTGGATTGTCTTTTGAGTCGCAGGTACTCGTCAACCAACGCGTCTATGAACGACCACCATTTTTCACCATCAAAAGGGTACTTGGTAGGTTCGAAACAATTTATTGAATTTTATTGCAAACGTTCGATTTTCGAAGTTAAGGATATATTCTAACATTAGTGGGTTTCAGTACCGTTATTTTCTAAGTAAATATATATATGCATCTTTTTTTACACTTCTAGAACCAAGTACTAAATAGTCGTTACCAAAAGTTTGATGCATGGTTTTTGCAAAAAATAAGTTATTTATTTGGTTTACGCATAGTCATTAATTATGGAACAGCCTCTCAATAACTTGAGCCCGTTCCCACTATCTCATGGCTACGAAAAAAGTAGAAAATTTAAAGATTTATTTTCCGTTTTTCAGTGCTTGCTCTCCTTCTCGCAGTTGTCAGCCTGGCAGTATGCATACCATCAGCTGCTGGTTTGCTTCCAGTAAAGCCATTTCGTGACCGATATGTTTGCTCTATCAGTAGGTAAGTATGTTCTGTCAATGATACAGGCAGGAAAAATAAGTTTTCTCTCTTTAGTGGGGCTCCTCTTGGATACACAGTGACGCGAGTGGTGCTATATATAGGCTGCTTGTGCGTTCTTTTAGTATGTTTGTCGGCCATCTTCAAAAAACGGGTAAAATATTTTTTTGACAACCCGACAACTTTC